TGCCAAAAAAACATCCAGCCCTTGTACCTCCTTTTATGATCCAAGATAAACGTTGAAGGTGTTAATAGTAACTTGCTGAAAGGAACACATCTCATTGTTGCATGAATATCATATCTTCACTGACAACCTCAACATGTTCTCTTTACATCTGACACCGATCCATTTATTTAATATGACAGCTGAGGTCAGGAGACAGATACATTTCCCCAGCGAGGTCACGCCACATCATTTTTATCCATTACGCTCTTGTCATTGGTGGTTGTAGTTGAACATATCTTAGTGTGGGAGAGATATCTCTGCGGCACATTTTGCTAATTTATGAACTTTCTGTGGGGAGTACTGCTGGAGCATAAACACACGGATGTGTTGAAGGTGAGGAAATCCCAACACTGGAGCTCCAAGGGAAGCAAGACAGGAGCGTGGGAAAGAGAGAAGGAGGGGAAAAAGGAATAATGGCGCAGAGACCTGAGTGGTGAACAGATCCCACAGCCTGTGGTCTGCAGGGAGTACACCTGCGAGAGGTGTGGAGCTAACAGAGGCACCGAGGACTTATAACACCTCCAACTGACAGGAAAAGTTAGAGAAACAAGCAGTATGAGGGGAAAAAGAAAACAATTTCCCCCATCCCAAGAGTCTTTTTAGTCCAAATACATACATAGAACTAGTAAAAACACAGCATAGCAGTGTGCACATGAACACATGTGGAACTGGATACACTAAACATGCACACCTCCATTTGATCTCAGTGCAAGTGGTCAGCAGTTTCCCCCTGGAAACATCTGTTTATACAATCTAACTGACTGTGTGTCAGTCTGCTTTGAGTGGTGAGATGGAGCAGGAGTCACTCCAGAAGGAGGGACAGGGTAATTCTTCAGCTGTGCCTTCGAGGAGCACGGTGAAGGTCAACAATCCCTCATCTTCCCATATTGACCATAACAGCCCTCGCACGGTGAGCCCACGCCAAGAGGGTTAAGAGGGTGATGGAAAACAAAGACCATCTGACATATCACAGTGGTGTCAAAGTGGGTGGCCAAACAGACCGCCATAGACGGGGAGGGTTTCACTGGATAGCCATCTTGTGAAAAGATTGTTTTGTGCCACAACAGAGTTTTTTTTGTCCCTGGTCTGACTCAGTCTGTATGGCATCTCTGAGCAGTTAAATATCAGCTCGTGCTCGTTTGAGCTGAGGATTAAAGAGGCCGAGGAACAGGAACAAAACAAAGATGACATCCATCACAATGAGCTCTAAAAGAGAGCGATAACAACAGTGAAATAATCACTACTGTTTGTTGTGTGTAAACCAAAACAGAAAGACCCTACAACAGTCTTCCCCAGGGGTTTTACTCAGAAAATGTGATATATCATATTTTTTGCCATGATAACTGCAGACTGAAATATCTCTCCAACTATTGGATGGATTGCAATTAAATTTGGCACAGATATTTATGTCCCCTCAGGATGAACTGCAATAAGTCTGATGATCCTCCACATTTTTTTTATCTCGTGCCATCATCACGACTGCCGTCACCAATTCAACACGCTGAATCAGCCAAAAAAAAAAAAAAAGCTAATGGGGGCCAATGAGGGGCAACGGTGCGGGACACACTGCAATGACTGGGGTGACAGATACTCACCAACGGCCAAACACTGACTGATGGCCAATCGTCAGCTTGGTGTGTCAGGGCCTTTAAAAAAGTTGAGGTGATATGATAAAGATGAAATGTATGAAACATACAAATGTGTTTTTGGCTTGCAGAAACACATAATGCCAGCCTTTTCATCTGTTGACTGGGCTGTTACTTGTTTTGACAGCCCACTAATTACAAACATCATATTGCTGTTTATCATATTTCAAACATCCTTCCATGCAGCACATCATTTAAAGTATGTAGTGCTGAATACAAGGTTCTAGATATTTAAAATTCGCTGGCGGTCATCTTGTTTGCTTTGTTTTGTTGAGGGAATATAAATTCTTTTTTTTTTTTTTTTTTACAAATAATCAAAGTAAGTGCCAAAAAATTGAAACATTCATCATGGTGAATTATCACTTTAAGAAATATGGGGCTTCACACCTCCTTCCTCTGACTGCTGATGGACTGGGAAGCCCCGAGGAGCCCCGCCACTTCTCCCGTGTCTCCCGCTGTCAGAGAGCTGCTGAGTTCAGGGCCCTCAGGCCTAACACTGTCTCCATTATACTTAACCATTTCCAGCCCCATCTCAGCCCTGCAAACAGCCCCAGGGACCATAAACACAGGGGGTCGCAGGAGAAACGTCCTTCCACTTCAAATCCCCATGCTTTTGTGTTCAGGACCAGACTCAGGAAATCAGTCGCTCTGCTGAGCTGGGTGGATGGTATTCTGACCTCTTCTCTGGAGGGCTAAAAGCATTGTTCTCACTGTGTTTTTGTGCTTGGGATGAGTGCAGTTTAATCCTAACTTCCCTGCGGCTCCGACACAAACTCCCCTGCAAACTGAGACCTCGCTGGCTGCTTTATCCAAATGCCCCTGGGAGGGCAGAGCTATTGCTGTTGTGGGTACTCCAAGCTTAACCCGATACCCTACTCAAAATCAAAAGTAAGCACTGCCGAGGAACGTTGGCACCGGACTCTCTCCAGTTTCGGATAATAAAAGTATCAAGTGATATCATCCCTGCTCGCAGGCTCTTGGCAAATCAGTGTTAGCGGCATGTGTAGGAGGCAAAGAGACGAGGGATGGAGACAAATGAGTGAAGAAGTGGAGTGAAAAGGAGACGGCAAGGACAAAAGGAAGAGGTGGGAAGCTGAGAAATGAAGAAGCGTGTTGCTGTTGTCAGACTGGTTTCGGGGGAGTAAAGTGAGATGAGAAAGTTCTTTCACTTGCAGACAAAGAGATGAGTGTTGAGTCACGCTTTTCTTATATCAAAAAAACAAACTCACAAAAACCTGTCAGATTATATCAAAACACTGGACACCACCGCAGTATCCTGCAGACACAATGGGAAAAATCTGTCTGATTAAAAGCTGACATGGCAGGATATATAAAAACTGTCATGTCTCATATTTCCAAAATGAATGATCCATGGTTAACAGTTGAGAGTAAAGGAAGAAATACATATGCAAGGCTTTTATCAAAATTCCTGATAAGAAATAAGAGTGTGTTTGAACCTAACTCAAAGATTAAACCTTAGTGGCTGCCTAGTCCCATCAATGTGTCCAAGAGAGAGCCCGAAGACAAAGGAGGTCCAGTCGAAAACAAGTGTGAGATAACAGGAAGTGGACCGCTGACATGAAGTCTCCCTATTTTAGGAGCCAAGTGACAAATGATTATTCTGTTTATTTATCTTAGTGGGGGCTTTCCACTTTGAAATGACCTTCACAGGTGGTCCCTGCTCATTATCTCTCACTCCGTTGTTTTCCTCCATATTGGAAAAACACGTCCCCCTCACCGCCCACCCAACACCCCCGACTTCCTACTTCATCCAGATAAATATACCAAACAGATTTCCAGAGGCAGTGTGGCAGACAATGAACTTGGGGCTGTTGAAGATGCTGTTTCTCCTTCAGTTAACTTAAGGTTACAGTGGCAGCAGTATAGGTGATTAAAGAAGGGGCTACAAGATGATTCTCGGGGTAGTGAAGTGGAAAATATACACCAGTTTATTAGAAAAACTGTAAATTACAGGCTAACTGTAAAGGTCAATCATGTAGGATTTGGAGGGATATACTGGTAGAAATGGAATATAATATACATAACTATGTTTTCATTAATTTATAATCACCTGAAACTAAGAGTTGCCGTGTTTTTGTTACCTTAGATTAAGCCATTTATATCTACATAGAGTGGGTCCTCTTCCACAGAGCCCCCAGTGTTGTTTCTACAGTAGCAAAGAACGGACAAACCACACACTGGCTCTACATAGGGTCTTTTGTGTTTTCATGTCGGCCACCGTAGTTCGCCTGCACGCTTGGCATAGTCGAGAAGTTTCAGTTGCTTGCAATCTGCAACCTCACCAGTAGATGCCACTAAATCTTACACAACCTTTATATTAAATCAAAGTCTCTCTGAAACAGTTGATTTTATTATAGGCTTTGTGCAGGTAAGATATATTGCAGATTTGACCACATTAATTTTAGCTAAGTAAAAAACTAAGTGTTCCTAATAAACTGGCAACTCAGTGTATAATGCAATAGACTACAGGTTTGCGTCCACATAGCCTTTTTCTACAACAGAAAAGCTGTGGCAGGCTATTTTTTCAATGACATGCTCTGCGTGGGTATGTTTCTATGACAGCAATGTCTTGACACTGATGTTAGCTAGGTAGCTAATGCAAGGCGACATTAACAGAGGGCTGACTACACAATCAACATCAAGCTTACAAAGCCAATGGTGATAAAACACAACAATCAGCAACATCCAGTGTCCGCCAGCTGATCTGCTTCAAAAAAATGAGCTTTTCTGTCTTTGCTGTGACAGCAGATAGTAGCCTAGCTAAGGAAGCGGTAGCAGCTACAGAGGTCTCTCACAATAGTGGACCAATTTCAAAAATTGCTCTTCCCAACAATCACTAGACACAAAAAGTTACCCTTTAGGATATCAGAAGGCAAAACTGTTGTGAAACACCATTTTAAAGCCAAAACCTTGTCTTATTGTCCACAAATGTCATTCTTGCTGTTTATAAGACAAGAGCATTATATCAATCTTATATATCAAATAAATAAAATAACCAAAGCTTTCCCAGTAAAAAGCTGACTTTAAAAGGAGTGACATTAGATAACACCTGGCCGGAACAATAGGGGCCATGGGAACAGCTTGTATTGCCATTAGTAACAGACAGGTGCCAGGAACCCCAATAATATCATAACAAGAAAAGCAGGAAACTGTGTTTCTGTTTGTTTTGTTCGTCTACACAACTCCAAAGAGTCTCACATCTCCTGGGGAAAAGCTCTATACATCAAAAGTGAGTGGATTAGAGAGTGTAGATGCAACAAAAAGGCAAATACATCTCAAACAAGAAACACAAACCTCTTGTGTGGACAGAGAGACAATTTCTTCGGTCAAATCCAAATGATGTAAGAGTCCTCACTCAACTCCTCAGGGCCTGTAGGGAGGCAAGAACAATGCAATGATGAGTCCAAATCACAAAACCATACCATCTCCAGAGAACAGTTCAGTCATAGTTGGCTCCACAACTTAAAATGAGAATCTTTTTCTCTCTTCTTACTCGTTGGTATTTTCCATCTAAACCTGAGGCAGACAAGCAAATGCACCTGGAGAAAACTTGAACTGTTTCACATGTTCATAAAAAGAGACCTGATGTCTGCGTCCCTCATTTGACATGATGTGAGTCCCTGTGGGAAAGTTGCATAATGTTTAACACAACAAATCACATTGTGTGTGTATTATATAATTCAGCCAAGTCACTAAGAGGGATAAGTCATAAGCCTTGTGTGAAAGGTGTTTTAAAACACCACATCTCATGTTCCCAATTCCTAATTTTAACTCATAAATCAATACAGACATTCTTACATTAAAATATGAGTCAACTCATTCCCATTTGATTTTGACTGAACTGTCTGCTTCTACTTAATTCCAGCTTGTAAAAACTCAAAAGACTGTCTGTGTTTTTACTTTGGCATTGACATAAAGAAGAGAAACCAGAATTACTGCCTCATGATTGTATGCCTCCGCAGACCAGTCAAGTTGTAGTTTACATTCATGTCTGTCCAGACTTATATGACAGTAAACGATGCTCCAAATAGGAATGCAGTTGCAAACAAACTTCACACACATCTTCAACCCAGCAGCACAGAAGATCTATACAATCAGCAGTTTCAAGGTGGACACCCAAAATAAGGGGTTTAAGCGTCATTACTTTATTCTATGTGAAATTTTGTCATAATTAGCATATGAATTCTTGACTTATGGCCAACAACATGTGAGGTCACTGTGACCTTTCACCACCAAATTCAAATCAGAAATTCCCTCAAGGCTTTCTTGAAGTTTCACATTCAGCTGGTGAACTTAGTGGAGGTGTTAGCAGCTAAAGAGCCAGATATTTTTCTCAGGAGTTGGTGGAGACCGAAACAGAGCTAAAAGAGAGTGAATATTAGAGTGACATTCATCTGGTGACTCCGATATTTCTGTGTATCTGCTAGCAACTGTCTGCTAACTAGTTCACCACTTTATGAGTTGTTAATATGTCATTATTTTGGTTATGGCTTGCCCCCCAGGTGTCTAAAAAAAAATCTTTCATTGAGGCTTTGATCTTTGAATCGTGATTCCCACTGACTGAGTGGAGGCGATCTCTTGGAATAAGGAGTACTACTACAAATACTACTACTAAATTATCACAGTATTAATATATCCATAACTGAAAAAACCAATCCATCCTTTAGAACTTGTCGAAGAAAACTTAGTAGGACCACTGACACTCACCAAACATCTTCCTGGTGTCAGCAGCAGACTCAGGTTACTCTGCCCTTCACACGCTAATGGCACACATACATCAGGCTGTAGATAATTAACTAATGGCCAACTCTTTTCCCCCTTTATCTCTGCACCACTGAGGCTTTTTTAATGGGTCCCATCCAGAGACAGCAGCACTCAGCTCGGGTTAACAGTCAGGTCAATAGTCTGACATCAATAGTCACAACATTAACAGGATTGCAGAGCCTTCCACTAACAGTGCATAAAAAAAATACTGTAGGATGGATGGAGCAGATTAGATGATGATAACTGGTGGCTGTTAGTTAGAAACACAGATAAGTATTTCTCCAAAGGAAGTTAAAAACTGAGGTTTGAGGAGATAGAACATGTACAATGCACAATGCCACACTGCAAAGCTGTTTAGGAATGGCCCGAGGTATGTGACAAAGAGCTCAAGACACCGACCTGGCCTCAGATCCAATTTAGATTCTCCTCTGCGTCCCTGAGCATTTGTCAGATGTGCTGGTAGCCCAGAGGTACCCCTGACCCATGATGGGGCCTTTGCATTAAAATACCCTGTTCCATTTGGATCCCAAATTAGTAAAATGCCTTGATTTATAAGTTTAGCAGCCAATAAATCTCTTATCCAATCTTTCCTTCACAACAGATGAGATGGTCTCTTTTGCCTTTTCTGACACTACAGGCATCTGCAAGGAAAATGAATGGTGGCATATACAAACATATGCGAACTCAAGACTGACTGAACAAAACAGGCCGCCTTAAACATAGGATGTAACCAAAACAAATGCAAATGCAAAATGCTTGCAGGAGGGTACTCAGGACAAAAGTGCTACTAACAATTAGCCTGGTCATTTTGTATCGTTTTCTGTATCAGTCTGGACTCGGTACCATCCCAAACACTTTCAGTGGGAAGGATAATGTGCCTTGACGCCAAGCTTAACAAAACACTGGGGAACATCTTCTTCATCACCAACAGAGCCAGTTGATAAATTCAGCTTTTGCCAGATCCAGTCGGCAGAACAGCGGGACATCTTTTCCTCTGAGAAACTCTGAGTGCAGAGAGTGCACACTCTTTGTGAGTTCTTGTTTAATTGTTGTTGACTTTATTTCTGCAATACCTTCACTTATTGCTTTGGTTACACTACTCATGTTAGAGTTTGCGTTTGTTGCTTCTGGGGACGCCATTACTGTTCTGCAGCCTACAGTTTACGTCATCAACTACAACGCAGTCCCTGATTGGCTGCTTACTTTTTCAACTACAGTGCAGATCCCTGATTGGCTCTAATAGGATTTCAATTTCTGTAAGGTGTTTTGGGTGGCAGCTAGTCCTGACTGATACGTAGAACAAAACAGAATGTTGAGATCACATAATCAGGATGGTCTGGTTAAGTTAACTAAGAAGTCCCTTGCTTAGATATCCATTCATCATGTTTAAGTAGAACTTTTGCCATTTTTGATAACTTGAAAACGATGGGTGTGTCATCTCATCTTACTGCCGGTGTTACACCATATTCTGTGAACCGTAGCAGTGCAACAGCAATTTTGCCTCCAAGTAACAATAAGTGCATTGTGCATGCAGAAAAATCAATTGTTAGTATTTGCTGATTGATAAAGTAGAACTTATTTTACTTCCACATTAAAGAGCAAACACTGTTTTCCCTCACAGCAGAAGGAAAATGAGCAGTGAACAGCCTAATACTTTTTAGCACAGTAGAATCTCTGTGGTTTAGGTGAGGGAAATAAAAATAATACAGATTTTTTTAACCGAGAGATGTCTTCATTCCCGACTAGCAAACTCTTTAAAAGATTCCATAAGTTATTCAAAAGGATTCAGATTTGATAAAATGCTACCAAACCCCATTTCTAAATACGCACAGCAACAAGGCTCTCCTCCCACCTGCCTGCTTGCCCAAAACACCCACCATTCGAACTCTGAAGTCATTCTGGACCTGACCTGCCCTGCAGTAGCAGGTGTGGACAAAAAAGACCTCAAAGTCTGTCAAAAAACACCAACTTTTATTTTTATGTTAAGTGATACTCTGATAAGGAAATATAACATAATCAAGTAAGGCATAATCAACACTGGCACCGGGTTTATAGAGAGTGGAAAAACAAGCAGTGATTTTGCCACAAAAACTCTGGACTAAGCTTAAAATAATACACTGTTATTTCCACAGAAGCTTTGGTTGGATCACTACACTAATAAACAGCATACCAACCATATTGCAGGCCTCTATATCACTGAATTAAATGTTCATACTTCTGTATCTTTTAGTCATTCCGCTTGGAAAATGAAGAAACCTATAAAGACCTGACAGTGACGGCACTCTTGCAGTGATTTGGTTTGTATGTAAAGTGATTTTGTGTTAGATACGTTTAATCACAAGCAGTTTACACACGCGACTCTCCGTTTTTTTCCCATGCTGTGATCTGATCTGTACTGCAAATCTGTACTGAAAACAGGAACCTCAATTTCACAGGTAAGTTCCGCAAAATTCGTAGTGAGGGATATAAAGTCAGGAACAACATAGCTGTTGAATGAATTTTGAATGAAGAATAACACAGTAATCGTACAATATGTTCTCCTGAGTTGAGTTTTGTCCTTAGGGGAACTTTGGCAGTGTAAATTCTTTGTTGGGCATTTTCCAATTACAGAAGTGGATACACAAATTGGGGGGATTTTCCCTTAAGTGTTACAATCCAGCAGCTTCTGGCCATTTAAAATGATGCCAAAATGCCCCAACACGCATTAAAGTTGGGAATACCTCTTAGTTAAGGCAGTGGTTGTTTGGAGCTGAGCTGTCGAACCCTTCTACAGCTGGGGGCAGGCTATTATGTGGCGACTAAGGGGGATGAAGCCAAGTCCACCACAAAAGGGTCTTTCTTACAGTATTTAAGGGCTCTGGGAATAAGGGAGCTGGATAGGAGGGAAGTATGTGGGTTGTAACGTTAAAAGGAACATCTGATAAATACACTTATTCACCTTTTTGCTGAGACTTAGGTGAGAAGATTTATACCACTCTCATATCTTTCTGATAGATCTGAAGCACCTAGCTTAGCGTAAAGACTTAAAGCAGGGTGAAACAACAAGCCTGACTCTAGAGTTGGTTTGATTTCCAGTTTTGCCAGCACAGTCCGGTGTACAAGCTTAAAATAAATTGATTTTGTGCAACCCGGCTGAACTGGCATTTGTCTTTTTAACATGCTCTGGAAAATTTAAAAGTAGCTTCCATAAGCTAACTGTGCCGATGGCTTCACAGAACTAAATCCATCTTGTATTGCAATAGTAATAAGCAATATGACAGTGTGATTAATTTAGTATTTTGTTTGTTTGGAAACAGACTAACAGATCCCTAGTGTCTAACAGGCCATGTGCAAGTTACTGCCAAGCTGAGGACATAAACATAAAGGAGATCAAATTTCAGTATAGGTGGGAGGGGAAAAGCTACGCATGGTGCACAATGTGTTTGTTTACTAGAAAGTTAATGTGTTTCTTTGGTGGTGACAAGACAAGATGCATGCAAGGCCTCTCTCAAGCCCCTTTTATACAGCCTTTTCAAGGCAGGAATGTAGCACACTTATTCAACCTCGCAGATCTCCTAAAAGACATAGAAACATAATGGGGGGAACGCGTTCCGCTATTAAGCCAGC